GTCGGTTCATCAGTCGGGACTTGAGACTCACCTGTTAAGACTGTAAATTCATTTTCTTCTTCGTAAGGATCTGACTGAGTTCTATCATCCTCACTCTAGGTACTGGATGTTGATTTCATGCTGGAATCTTTAGTAGTAATGGATTGGAGAAATTGTTGCTTCATATAATCCATGCTTTTAATAACAAGCTCGGTTTCTGATAATTCTGGAAATTGTTTTCTGAGCTCTTGCTGGATTTTGATGAAAGGGTTGACTGGAGGAGTTGGGATAGACTTAGGAGAGGCATCCCAACAAGCTTGAGTATGTTCTTTGATTTTCTGGAGCAATTCCTGCTTTGGTTTTGGATCATCCATTTTAGGCAACCATTTATACAGGAAAATTCGTTTTAGTCTGGGAATTTTATTCTGGAAATCACATTTGAAGTCCCACGTCCATATCCATGGAATTCCAAATCTGATGACGAAATGAACAATACATTTGGACATAGAAATTTCTTTGTTAGCTGGAATTTGACTGAAAGCTACATGCCATTCATTGAATGCAAGTATAATATGTTCTAGAAAAGCATCAATCTGGAGTGCCATTCATTGAATGCAAGTCTAATATGTTCTGGAAAAGCATCAATCTGGAGTCCGAATTTACCCCACCAAATGAGAAACCAATTGGGGAGATCATTTTTAAGGACATCGGGAAGGACGCGAAAAAACCAAGAATGGCTGCGAGGAGGATTCATATAGTAAAAAGTTTGAGAAAAAGCATCGATATAATCCCAATAACTGTATCTGGATTCTTTAGAACGAATATCAAGAGTTCTGGTAACATAGGGATGCAAACCCCAAGCCTGGATAGGTATAATAGTCTAAATAGTAGCTTTACTGTAATTAATAGGACTAGCAGTCCGATTTGGATCAGCTAAAGTATGCTGGAATTGTACCGAAGCAAGTTCTGTAAGAATCTGTTCGTACGCATATCTGTATTGGTCAAAATGCGGGGGTGCATTTTGAGTGGCAAGATATCGACGTTTAATCTCCCACGGATTAACCATCCATTGAATATCGGCAGAATCAATGTAAAGGACAGTTTCCTCTTTGATAGAATTCTGGACATAAGATGTTTCTGGAGCAAGAAGGACATCTTTAGCAGTTTTGCTAGAAGATTCCCCGGGATTACTGGATTGGCCAAATAATGGTTGAAATTCTGTATGATAAGGGTTAGAACCCCTTCCACGGCCCCGACGGGCGGAGCCCCTGCTTCTACCCTGCATGAGATTTCTGCAAATATTCTCGAGTTAGAAAATCAGGAAGGGAATTATTTTCACCTTTAATATATTCAATATTAAAATAAAAAACAGAAAGGGTTGATTGCCAAATAGCAAAAAATTGACGGTGAGCTAAATTAGCAACATCTTTTTCTGGATTGGCCAAATAATGGTTGAAATTCTGTATGATAAGGGTTAGAACCCCTTCCACGGCCCCGACGGGCGGAGCCCCTGCTTCTACCCTGCATGAGATTTCTGCAAATATTCTCGAGTTAGAAAATCAGGAAGGGAATTATTTTCACCTTTAATATTAAAATCAAAAACAGAAAGGGTTGATTGCCAAATAGCAAAAATTTGACGGTGAGCTAAATTAGCAACATCTTTTTTAAAGATTTGTTTGGTGGCAGAGCAATCTACTCTAATTAAAAAATGTTGATTTAGTAAATCATCCTGGAATTTTAAGACACATTTTATAATGGCTAAACATTCTTTTTTAATCGTCGGATATCTTTTAGCTGCATCATGCCAAATACCAGAATGAAAACGCGAAAGTTCTTCTTTTTTAGTCTTTGGATTAAATTGTTTTAATATGCCACCAAATCCTAAATTAGAGGCATCAGTTTCAACAATCTTTTTCCATTCTAGATGAGGTAAACATAAACAAGGGAGAGTTTGAACTCTAGCCTTGATTTTCTTGACGGCTGAAGTATGTTCAGGACCCCAAACAGGTGGGTTTTTACGAAGACGACTGTATAATACTGCTGCATCAGTGTATTTTTTGTTCTGTTTTGTTGGATATGGTGCCACTTGGTGATTAAAGTTTTTGCGGCCAATGCCTGTTTTTTGGCAACCATTGTCATCATTTTGTTATCACATTTTTGTATAACAATCAAACACTAGATAATCTCCCATTCCCATGTCTGTTCTACCACAGACTACTTCACAAACCACGTAAACATCCCACAAGGAAAAAGAAAATCATGAAATAACCAACAATATCATAACTCAAATTTGTTGAACTTTATACTGGGAGGAAGATCTCGTCGAGCTGAGTCCGCTACTAAAAAGCCCAACTCCAGAAAATATTCCACGCGCGCTCACGCACCTCCTAAAAATGGCGGGTGAGTTTCTTTATCTTCCACACACCAAACGCGCTGTCACACCAGTCTCACTTACACGCACGACACGCGGCCGATGGAAGAAGGAGAGTGCACTGCGCATTATCGCCACGCCATCGACATGTGGATACATTCCATTCAAAATGTCCAAAAAGTACTGTAAAAGCAGTTTTGTATCTATCATTTTCTGCAATTTGAACTTGCCAATATCCTGACTTCATATAAAATTTAGAAAATATTACTGCATCCTGTAAGCGATCTAAAAGATCCTTTTTATTAGGAACTGGATATTGGATCCACCGTAAGGCTTCATTAAGAGGTTTATAATTAATTACTAATCTTGGCACACCTCTTTCAATTTCTGCATTTTTATTAACATAAAAGGCAGTACAACTCCAAGGAGATCTAGGGGTGAAATCGGTTCGGTTCGGTCGGTTATTTCGCGAGTTTTGCACCGAACCGGTCATCTCGGTTTTACATATTTGTGAACCGAACCGCCTTAAAAAATGACATAAACCGGCTCGGTTCGGTTTATTTCGGTGCGGTGCGGTTTCTCGGTTTTTCGGTTTTTTTTCAAGCCATGTAATTCTTTTTTTTTTTTGGGCCTCACATTTTGGGCCTATATTTTTATCCATTTTGCATAAAATTTGGGTCTCAAGCCATTTATTTCCTGCATAAGTTTGGGGCCTCACATTTTGGGCCTATGTTTTTATCCATTTATATAAAATTTGGGCCTCAAGCCATGTAATTCCTGCATAGGTTTGGGCCTCACATTTTGGGCCTATATTCTTATCCATTTGCATAAAATGTGGGCCTAAACCTATGTAATTCTTGCATAAGTTTGAGGCCCCTGCCCTGTTATTAACATATACCAACAAAAAAATGAAAAATAACATATATCCAATTATAAAGTTTAAGCCTTGTATCCAAATCCAAGTCTAAGCCATCAACCAACCATATATCTAATCCAACCATAAAACTATGTGTCTAAATCTAAACCTTAATAAATATTACAGACCATTACATAAAATAGAAACCATCTAAGGCAAGCAGCAGCAACATGAACTTTCCAACTAAGCAAGCAAAAGAGACCTGTAAAAAAAAATAAAATTATTATCAACATAATTCAATTTAACATAAAAAAAAAAATTACATCAACTATTCAATTTCTTACCCTTGCTTTCAAGCATCAATCAATAACAGTTACATCCTTATTGCTTGTTCCTTCCATAAGTACTAAAAAAAGACCCAATGCACAACAGGTTAAAGTGTTAAACATATAATTTTCATTTGTTTTATTATTTTTCTGTTTCTGTTTCAGATTTTGATTTTATGTTTGTAACAAAATAAAAATCTATTTTTATTTATTTATTTTATATTCTGGTTTGATTTTTGTAATCAAACAATCTCTCTTCTTTCCTTTATTTTTTCTATGTTCTGTTTGTTGTTGAGTACACAAACATAATACATTGATAATTATTATCTCAGGTAGGCAATCCAAGAGGGGCGATGAATTGGGTTATTAAAAAAATTTACAATATTAAAATTAACACAATATTTAGAATTTTAACAAACAAAAAAAAAACAGAATAATAATTATCAATATAAAAGTAGAAGAGATAGAGAGAGAAAATCAAACACTGCGATTTATAGTGGTTCGGCACGCCAGGCCTACGTCCACTCCCCAAGGAACCTCCTTGAGAATTTCTTTACTATCAATTGAATAAATACACCACCAAGCTTGTGGATTTGGCACAGGACTTACTCTTATCTATTGAGCCTCACTCAACAATAAATGCCTTAGCCTTACAAAATCTCTCACAAAAATAATGAATAAAAATAAGTGGTACTTAAACCCTCTTTTACAATAATTCTCTCACAAAGAGTAGATATGAAAGTGTAAGAACAAAGGCTACACTTAGATCTGAAAGTGAAAGAGCATAATACAATATACTCAGAATTTTGGAGCATTTTGGAGCACATAGAAATTTTTCTCTTCAAGTTCTTGATTTTTCTCTACACACAATACTTCTATTTATACACAAAAATATACCCGTTAGAGGTAAAATGCTCCTTGCTGGCGTCATGGATGACATGAGTACCTTTTCTTTTGTCAAACTATAAATTTTCTTTATTCACTTTTTCTTTTTCTTTTTGTAAGCAAATTCAAAGCATTTTGCAACTTTTTTCCTTTTTCATTCTGCAGGCAAAACATGTTTAAAGATTTACAATGAAAAATTACATAAGTCTTCTCCTGTAATTATTACATTATATTATATTACTTTCAAGACTATGACTATATATATAATATTTACAACTTTGAATTTAAACAAGCAAAATATGAAATTATTTGCTCAATAATAATTTATATCTATATAATAAGACAAGAGGTTTTTTGAAAATGTCTTAGAGATAATTGTCCAACTAAGACATTTCAACGGTTGAGATAACTTTTAATAATAACATCCAACGGTTGAGATGACTTTTAAACCAATCTAAGAATTTTAGATTCCCACCCATATCCACGTCCACGTGTTAAACCACCTCCACGCTCTCTCTCTCAAAGCCATCTCTCTCTCTCTCTCTCTGTCCCTCCCTCTTCTACACTTCTCACCCACGTGCATGCTTCTCTCTCTCTCTCTCTCTCTCTCTCTCTCTCTCAAAGACCGAAACCCTAGCTCTGCACAAGTAACCCACGTTTCTCACCCATTTATATATTTTTCCTCTCCATATTCTTTACAAAGAGGGTCGGTTTTTGGCGATTGTTTTGGGATGCGTCGCTGCCGCCATAGAAGGTGGCGTGAGCACTCCACCACGGCCCGCCGGTGTGAACTCCGGGGATTCGAGCTTCCACCACCACCGCGAGAGCCCAGACGAGACTAGCAATGCAGAGAAAAACCCTCGATACATATGTATCTCTGCAAATGTGTGTACATGTATGAGGAATTTGGGAATCCTAGAGGAGAGAAAGAAGAAGAAATAGTTACAGATCAAACAGGTGAGTATATCTCTTCAAATTGAAATTCTGTTTGAACACGATTTGAATTCTGAAATGAAATCGTCATTCTGAAATCGTGATTTCCCTTCAAATTGAATTTTGTTTGAACAATTCTGTTGGATTTGTTGATGTATGGTTTTGAATTGACTGAATTGTTCATGTGTGCTTCAGATCTAACAACAATTCTTATGCCGAACCACTCGATTCAACAAATCGAAATCACGATTCGCTCCAAAAATTGTTCATTTTCCCCTGGATTTGGTACTTTAAGTATGTTTGTCTTTGTCTTCAATTGCATTATCTCCTACATTTATTTTCTCTGTAATGTTTTTTAATTTTTTATCTGCATTGGAAGGCTATCGAAGTCAATTAAATTCTGTTTGATGTGGATTTGAATTGTGATTGATCTGTATCTATAGATATATAGATAGATATATCTCTGCAAATGTGTGTATATGTATGAGGAATTTGTGTATATGAAGTTATCTCTCTCCCTAGCTACTTCCTAACACATGAGAGATTATATGTTGAGATATTATCCTTTAGGCCAATAATGGAGTCCCATGGCCTGAGATATTATCTGTGTAATGAAGTTATTCTGCTTTAACCCATTAATATTATCCGTTATAGTTTGACCCATGTGTTATAAATTAAATGTTAGGTATTGAGATATTATTAAACATTTAATCAATGTAGTATATCATAACATTTAATCAATTAAAACTAAATGTTGTCTGCTATGATACCATGTGAAGTTATTTGGGACCAATTCATTTATGGATCAGTTGTATTTTCTCTGTTAATCAACTCTGCAATTTTCTGATTGTGATTGTGATATAAAACCGACACTCTACTATTTTCTGATTTCAATTGCTTTCAATTGTAAACTGATTCAATTGTTCTTGCGATCATAGTTTCATTCACAAACTGATTAAATGTTCTTTTATCTCTCTGCTCTCCAGGCCTGTTCTTCTTCGGTATTTTCTGATTATCTATCTTTATTTCTTCATGTCAAGCTTTGAATATGGGATTCTCTCCCCATTTCTTTGTAATATATTCAGGTGATCTATATAGGTCTGCAACATCTACTTTACTGGGATTAGCATCCTCACCATTATTTCCTCTGTTAATCAACGCATTCGTAATGGATTCTTGCTGTGCAACCTTGAGAGCCAATACCCACTTGGCAAACCCAAGCAAATGTGGTCTGAGTCATGGTGATAATGGGTTTTGGGGGGAGAGGATGAGAGGGAGTCTCAACAAGAACAGTCGTCATTAGGTTAATCAGTTAGCAAAAGGCTTGAGATATGAGAGAAAGGAGAGGAAGATCAGACCTAGCGTTTCTTGCTCTGTTATTACATCAGACAATGGCAAAGAGGCTTTGGTGAGTGAGTCATTTCCATTCTTTGATCAATCTTAATAGTATCCAATTTTGGGAAGTAGATAGGTTTTTGCTTAATCACAATAGCATAATTTCTTGTGGGTTTGATGTGTTTTTGCTATATGGATTTCAAATAAGAGAAAGGTTGTCTGATTATGTCTTCACTCTTTAGTATACCCATTAAAATCTTGGTGATTTGAATTTCAATTGATATGTGTTTGTTGGATATATTAATCTCATTTTTGAGTTTTAATCTAATTTCAGACCATAGATGCACCCCTGTTTGAGAGAGGAAGAGCGAACCCAAAAAATGTGGCTGCAATCATATTGGGTGGAGGAGCAGGGACTAAACTCTTTCCTCTTACAATTAAAACTGCAACACCAGCTGTAAGAAACTACTTCTGGTTTAATCAGCCTGTATATGACATTATTATGACTTTTTGGTTATGACAATTATGAAATCATATACATGTATGTGTGTGTGTTGAGTTAATTCATGATCATCAAGGTAGCATGTGTAAATATTAGAGATATAGCCTTCTTTTCTTTCTTTCCTTCTTTCTTTCTTTCTTTTAAATATATATATATATATATTTCTGTTGAACTTTCTGATATGAATGCAATGATCCTCAAAAGGTTGACCTTTAATTTCAAGTTGACATCTCTAATAGGAGGATTTTTTGGTGGTGTTTCATTTTCTTTGTCCTCATTTTTCATGCTCTCGGAAACAAAATAAGATTAGGGGAATTGTTATCTTATTTGAGTTTTGTAAAACATGTAATACAAGCAAAATTGTTACAAGTTCTTTAAGAATAAAAATATTTTAATATATTTTTATAACTACATTTTAATTTTAATATTATTTACACCGTGCCTTTAGGCACGGGCATACGCTAGTAGTATTACAAAACAAAACAAGGGGATCAACTAGTCCCTCCCCAAACTCATTGATCATGTCAGCTACTAATTTTGCTGTTGAAGAGCCTCGAATTAACGCTGAGAATTCGACTTGTAATTGAAACCCTAGCTCGAATTGTTCGTTTGTTCAATCTTTAAACAAGAAAAGTACTGTAAATTTTCCCGAGAAAATTAAATAAGAAGAGAGAGAGAGAAAGAGAAACTGTTAGGTTTAAATTATTTGGGCATACCACAAAGTATGATTTTATCTTAAAGGGTAATTTGTAAAAAAAAAAATATAAGGTGCATTAAGAGTAAATTATAACCGTAAATAATTTAATAGAGAGTACTTAAAAATTAGACATCCTTAATTATTTTTTAGGTGCAAATAATTTCTATGACCATGGTGGGCCATGATCCATGTCACATTCATAAGCATATAATATTAATAAAAATATTTTTGGAATGGCCCTTTAAGTTGGCCTAGGTGTTCCTTTCAATCTCAAATTGAGCATAAATACTAAGCCGCATCTTTGTTAAGCCTCAGACAAAGCACATAAAGATAGCAAGCCATCCTTCGGAAGGAAAATGATATTCTTAACATAACTTTTGGAAAAGGACTAGCATTAGTGGCGGTTCTAGAATTTTTATTTTTTTTATTATTATTATTGTTTTGTTGTTGTGACTATGAAGTCTATAACTCTTATCAATATTCATCATTTATTGTTAAGGAATCTTTTTAGTGCAAGTCATATTTTGCAAACAACAATGCTAGGTAGCTCAAAATTTTGTGGCTCAAATGGCTCAAATCTGTCAAAACGACGTCGTTTTGACAGATTTTGAGCATAAAACGACGTCGTTTTGACAAATTTCAGCCATTTGTTGTCATATTTTTGTATAACAATCAAACACTAGATAATCTCCCATTCCCATGTCTGTTCTACCATAGACTACTTCACAAACAACTTGTTGGTGGCCCAATTGCTTTTCTTCTCTCTTTTCCTTTTCCACTATTAGTTGGACCAACTCTAAATCCCTCACCAAGTTCACCCTCCTCACCAATCTCACCACCAACTTCACCCTCCTCACTATTTTCACCAACCTCATCCTCTCTAAGAGTCAACTGGAAGTGTGTGTCCTCATCTTCTAACCGCTCAAAAGCCTTTTGAAATGGTAAAGCCCGCTCTAACATGAAATATGTAGAGTTCCATCGGGTAGCTACATCCAAACAAGGTTGACCATGACACTCAATGCCCTCCGTTTCAGTACACGATTTGAATTTAGCCATCCTAGATGGAGAGGATCTCACATACTTCACAATATTCCGAATCCTTGTTATGGAGTCATCAATTTCTTTCAATCCCTCACAAACAATTAGATTCAATATGTGAGCACAACACCTCACATGTAAAAACTCATGCTCTAATATGGTACTCTTCCTAGTTTTCCTCTTTCGCTTCAAAAAATTAATGAGACCATTATTTGAGCTTGCGTTATCAACTGTAACTGTGAGAAACTTATCTATCCCCCATTCTACCAAACATTGCTCAATCACCTTGCCAAGTGTCTCACCTTTATGGTTAGGAACTACACAAAAGTTAAGAATTTTTTTGTGAAGTTTCCAATCACAATCAATAAAATGTGCGGTGAGACACATATAATTCAGATTTTGCACGGATGTCCAAGTGTCTGTGGTAAGGCATAGTCGTTGATCTCTAAGTGCATTCTTCAAAACCTTCTTCTCACTAAAATATAGTGACATACAATCCTTGGCAACGGTAATCCTAGAGGGGATTTTTAACCATTTTGGTTGCACCACACGCATGAATTGTCTAAATCCCTCACCCTCCACAAATTTAAAAGACAGTTCATCTATTATTATCATCTTTGCTAGGGCCTTTCTACATGCATCAACACTGAAGCTTACAGCTACAAGATTACCACTTGTTTCTCCATCACCATCCTTTTTTGGTTTAAAACCTAGGGTACTTTGCTTTGCATCTTCCCTTAAAGGATACTTCTTACACCTTGATTCTATATGAGTTAGCATTGATTTTGTCCCATTAATCTTCGGATCACATGCATAAGTTACACCACAATAATTACAAGAGGCCCTAGGTCTTTTACCAGATTCACAATCCAATTTCGTAAAATGATCCCAAACCAAAGACCGTGGTCTTTTACCCACATTATCAGATTTATTTTTTGTGCTTGTTTCCTTAGCTTCTTGTACCATAGGTTCTTCAGTTTCATTGGGCACTTCAAGCATATTTTCATCCGTCTAAACATAATAACAAGAAGAATTTGCAAACCATTATATATATATATATATATTTATTATTTCTTTATATATCATTAGCACAACAATTTAAAGAAAAAAAAAAGAATGTCAAAACACAGACAGTCTGTTACTACATTTTAAATATAGGCAAATGAGTGTCTCTGAAGTCAAAATGCTACTCAAGTGAATCAAGCATGGGAACCATGCCCTCAACCCTTGTTAAGAAAATGTCATCATGGCATATTATTTATTTTTAGTTCAGATTCTTAAGGATTTTCATTGCTTAATACATTAGCAAAACAGATTGGAATGAAAATATCATTCTAATGGATAGAGTTGCAACATATTATTAAAAACCAATATTAATAGTCTATAAATTTTAAATGAATTTGAATTCTATAATTTTTTCTTAATTATTTTTTAATTTAAGATAAAGATAAATTAAGGGTGACTATTTGTAACAGACATACCCATTCCATAACAAAACCAGATTACATTTATCTTGTCAACCAACAAATAGACCATGTTAACAGCAAGTTTAAGAACACAAAAGACTAGAAAAGCATTTTTATGACTCTTTGCTGATAACCTTATTTGTAAAGGAATCTTGAAAATTTTATAATTTTTTTACTAGAAAAGCATTTTTATAACTTAAAAGATTTATTCAAAAAAAATTCAAGGTACTAAAATTGGGAAACATGAATTTAAAGCTAAAAAAATAGCGAAGAATTTAAAGATTATTAGCCAAGTCTTATATCAAAACTTTTTTCTGTCATTTTAAATTCCATTTCTTATTTGTAAAAGCTAGAATGTTTGGTGTATGGCTATAACCGTATTTTGTGCCTAAACTAAGAAAAGGGGGAAAATAAAATAAAAGAAAAAAGACGAAAAAAGAAAAGAGAGTTCACAAATGTTTCTTACAAAAACAAACCAACTTTACAAAAGACTTACCGTATTTCTACAATTCTTGTTTCACTTCAAAAACAAAACCAAAGCAAACAATAAACAGCTGGAATTGCATGGAAAACTGAGAACCCACCAAGATCAATAAAAGGGATTTCGAAAATTAGGGCACAATCAATAAAAGGGTTTTCGAAAATCACCTTAGGGTTTTGATTAAGCTTCTGCTTGTTGATTTTGCTACAAACCCACCAAGATCTTCATCATCTACTTCGTTGATGAGTGAAGGAAGTGCGAAAGAGAGAGTGACAGTCCGTGTCTCTCGTTCGAAACAGAGAGCTCTCGTTTGATTCTTCAGAGAGAGAGAGAGTGAGAGAGAGAGTGATGGCGAGAGAGGGCCGTGAGAGAGAGAGAGTGACAGTCTAAGAAAAATGGAGAAAAAATGGAGAAACTGAGAGAGCTTCTTCTCAGGAAGAAAATGAAGAGACAAATAGAGAGAGCTTCTATGGTGTGGTGTGTGGTGGGTTGGTGTGAAGTGACCCGTGGTGTATATGTGTGGTCTGTGTTGCTTTTTTGTTTTTTTTTTTTTTTAACATAGTGAGACACGTGGACGGCTCAGATGATGCGACGTGGACGGCTAGGATTTTAAGACTACTAATATTATATGAATCGGTTCGGTTCGGTTCAAAAAACACAAAACCATAAACCGAACCGAATGTACAGAAAAATAATACCGAACCGAACCGGTCAAAAATAAATTGAACACCAACCGAAAACCATACGGTTCAATCGGTTCGGTCGGTTCATTCGGTTCTTCCGGTTATTCTTTCACCCCTAAGGAGATCTACTGGATCTAATTAATTTTTTCTGGAGAAGGGAACTAATTTCAGCTTTACATAATTCCATATATGCTTTTTTCATTTGACTGGGACGAGCTTTTGTCGGAATTTTTCTTTCATCAAAAGTGGGCTCATAGGGCAAGGAAACAATATGTTTCTTGCGATCCCAAAAAGCATTGGGAACATCACTGCAGATTTCTTCCTGGAATTCTTTTTCAAGCAATTTAATTTTTTGCTGAAAAGATGTTTGCTATATTCTTTGTTCTGTAGTTAAAAAACTAATTTCTTTTTGAAGAAAATTAATTTGATTTTGTTTTAAAGAAACTAGATCATCAGATATATGATCTAATTCTTTACTGTGAGGTGAAGTAATAAACTCAA